CTACCTTTTTGATTCTGACCTTTAAATTTGTAAGTATTTTCCACTGGAGTTCTTTAAGATTTAGACAAATGACTGACTTCTCTGCAGCCACACAGGTGGAGGGCACATTCTATTTTGTAGCTTTCAATTCCTTAACAATCTGCTTAACATCTGTAGTTGATAAACATACTCTACAGGGCAAAAGAGAAAAAAGAACTGAGTAAATGAATTCTTACATTAAATGTCAGCTGGCATTTTATAAGATTAATTTTTAAAAGTAAAATAAAAATTCAACCCACATTGACTGAATATATTTTAAAGTCTATAAGCATAGATAAGCCATAATTTACACACACACACACACACACACACACACACACAAAGCTGAAGAAATCAAATATAAAATTGGCAAATTAAAAAAGTTTGAATTAATGTCTGTAGAATCTGTATAAAACTGCAGAATCACATATGTCCTGGAGATGAGAAACATAACATTTGGACTATTTCCTTTGTCGTAGCTCTTACGCTAAGCATTCTGTTGCATCCTTACTATGACTCTGTGGACCCTGGATAACTATTATCTTCATTTTTCACATGAAGAGACCTGAGTCTTAACAAGCACTTTGTCAAAGCCAGCCCTTGCCAACTGGCAGAACGGGATTCACAGCTAGACAGCCTAATTCCAGAATACTATTCTGCTAGTATGGAAGAATTTGAAGGATTTCTTCCTAGGTGGGGCAATTATAAATAATTTTTAAGTTAAACTTTATTATTAGAATGTACAAATATAATATTAACTAGCATTAAGCACATGATTAGGTGAATTGTGGGAAAAAATGAACACATTATTATACATTATTATAATCATCACTAAAATAATAACAGAATGTTTTTGTCATCTCAGAAGTTCCCCCAACTCCAGTACACCTTCGTAGTTGATCTGTTTGTCCCCACACTCCCTGGCTCTTGGCACCCACTGGATTCCTTTCTGTCATGAGAGTTGGTCACATCTAAAACTTCATACAGGGCTGGCCCCGTAGTGCAGAGGTTAAGTGCTGCACAGAGAAAACCAGATCCGATATATCTGACCAGGATTTGAACTCCAGCCCCAGTGGTTTGAAAAACATGCCAGGTATGTGCGTGTGTGCTCAGGATCCTGACAGAATGAAGAAATGGAGGAAAAAGATTATGACATGACCATGTCCTGTCAGGGGATACTGCTTCCTCTTTCTTGCATGCACATGCACCCTCTAGATAAAAAAAAATAATAAATTTTATATAAGCTGAATCACATAGTAGTAGTCTTTTGAAATGAACGTTTAGATTTACATTAATGCCTTGAGATTCACTATGTTATTGCATTTATCAGTAAGTTATTCTGTATTGTTGAGTAATGTTGTATTGTATGGATATACCACAATTTGTTTATCTAGTCACCAATTGATGGGCATTTGGGTAATTCCTAGTTTGGGGTAATAATAATTTAGGTTGCTATGAGCACTTGTGTAGAAGTTCTTGTGTAGTCAAATGTTTTCATTTCTTCTAAGTACCAGAAATATGATGTATGGGTCTTATGGCAAACAATACAAAAAGGATTCTTAGACATGGTGAAAGTCATGACAATGGTATGCAAATGACTTCCTGCTGTTAGCAGATCCATGGAGCCTTCAAAATTATATCAATATGAAAGGACTTTTTATTTTTATTAATTATTTCAGCAATTACCTCTTTATTTCTGTCACCTCTTATTTGTAACTAAAGGACACTAAATTACTTTGTATCAATTATTCATAAATTAGGGATAAATCAAAATGTCATATGTCTAGGAGGACTTTACTTTCTTGGACTCCCTGGACGGAAATGGTAGCATTTTCTGTCGCCCAGTCTTTCTCAAAGAGGCTGGAATTGTCTTTGAATGCCAAAGAACCTAGAGATGGTACTTTGTTAGGCTGGAATCTGCCGAACTGAACCAATAGGGGGAAACACCCATCTACTTTTGGCCATCTGACAACCTTGAAAAGAAAAAAACATGTGAGAACTAAGAAAATCTGCCCTTGAGATTGTAGGTCGTAATGCATAGGTCAAATCAAATTTAAATTAGAGAAAGAAACAATATGATGTACTCTTTAAAATATAAAGAACTAATGATTATTAAACAGCCCAACCCCAGTACTCTGTGTCCTGGGATGGAGCCTTCTCCATCTGAGTGATGCTGTATATCTGTTTCCCAGGATACAGATCCCTTTACTCAAAAAAAAAAAAAAAAAAGAGAGAGAGAGAGTTAATTTCTTGATATAATAACTTAAAGAAATTACACTACAGTAATTTCTTAGAGTCCCCAATTTGAGTTCCCATATGGCCTCTGGGAATGAACAGTTTCACAATTACCAGAGACCATGAGCACTACATACTCCTACTATACAGGTAGCCCCTAAGACACTAAGAAAAATACACTATTTAAAGCTCAAACTCTCTGAACTGTCACCATTTCAGTAATTTATATGGAGGATAGTAGTATCATAGGTCTAAAATGACCTCTCTAGGTATTGTAGTTAAAGTAAATGGTACCAGGAGAATCATTAGTCGGTAGGAAAATCCTGATGTATTTTTCATTTTTCTGTGCAAAAATGTGTCATGATTTTTCTGACAACCCAATATTAGTGTTTTCTTGAGTCAAATTATGCTAAAAGTTGGTTCACTTGGAAATTTTATTAAAAACAGACTGATTTAATTTCAGTCTCAGTCAAATACTTTGTTTTTGTTTTTGCCAAGGGTGTATACTACACAGTATGCCCCTCCATGTATTCATTGGCCTGTGCAGGGAAGGACATCCAGTACTGCTCCCTTGCCTCCAAGCCTACATCCATGGAAGGGTTAGGATTCTATCAGTATTTTAGAGTTGCCCTGCGACAATCCCCATGTACTTTGAAAGCAAGGTACACTTAACATCCTCTCAGTGTTTACTCAAACACTAGTTAGGCCAATGTACTATTGTTGTTGAACCTATATGACCTTTCAATTTTGTGATCTGCAGCCAATGATTTTACTTCAAGGCTCAGTTTCCTCAGTTTCAAAATGGAGGTAATAGTAGGAACCTTCCAAGGTGGCTATGAGATTTCAATCAGACAAGGAGTAGTGAGGAGCCTAGTATAATAGCTGATACATAGTAGATATTTAATAAATGGTCATTACTATATTTTCCATTGTTTCTCTTTTTATTCATCAGGATCATCCTTATCAGTGCCATGAAAACAAAAGACAGCTGAGAAGCCCCACAGACTAGTGGGATAACTGGGATGCGAGAAATGAGTGAGGTGTCATTTTCAGTTCACTGTTAGCTTTTTCCTGTTCTTATTAATTATTCACCCATCTTGACTTTAAGTAGGATTGTGGCTGTGGGGGAGAGGGATGAGGAGACTTCAGGCCAACAGGGAATCCTCCCATGGGACAAGGAACAGGATAGTAACAAGAACTCTTAACTCTTTCCTTGTCAGAATCAGCCAAATTACTTAAAAACCCTCAAGGAAGCCACTGATTTGGATTGGGATGGGAGCAAGGACTAAGTATGAACAAGAAAAATACTAAAAACAGATAAATTTTATTTCTTTCAATTTGGTTGAAAATGGGAAAGCTAGGTTCTTTTCTCCAGACCACCCCCCCAAAAAAATCCTTCTTCCTTTTTATGTAACTTACCATGTCAAAAAGGACACACTCAACTGTAGCCATGAAGCAAATGCCTTCAGAAGATGGTTTCCCTTGTTCCCCGATGGTATTGGATAATTTCAGTAATTCAGACACAACAAGCAATAGGTATAATGAGGACCTTTTATCTCTTCATGAGGTAAAAGTGATGTGAAATTTAAATGATAGACCATGTTCTTCCAGTCCTCACCACAGAACCCAGATACATACAACAAACAAGGTAACAAAATGGAAGCTAAAAGCATGAACTCAAGAGCTTCACCCTCCGGGGATTGGATTTGGCTATGAACCTAACTAGCTGTATGACCTTGAGAAAGCAACTTGCTGTCTGTACTGTAGTGTTCCTATTTTTAAAATGTCTGTTACTGATTTTTAAACCTAAAGCATTGCTGCAAAGACCAGCAGTTGGTGTAATGGCTACGTCACTGGACTCCCATGTAGTCCACCGCGATTCGAGTCCTGGACCTGGTGGCTTAAACTCACACCGGGCGCGTGTACGTGCGTGCCCAAGGTCCTGAGAGGAGAATGGAGAAGGGATTGCAGCATGGCCATCTCCCTGGGGGGAAAGAGATTTCTCGGGTTCTGTCTCTCTGTCTCTCTCTGTCTTTCTGGTGAGCGCACGTGCCCTATACCAAAAATCTCCCCCCGAAAAAGAAAAAAGAAATAAACATTGCTGTGAAAATGAATGAATGAGTCCAGGTGTGAAATACACTGTGTGCTGTTAGCTGCTGTTATTGTCTATTCAAATCTTAAAAGCTTATACCTCTCTCATGCATCTGTCAGCCTGTACCTTGTAGAATTTTAAATTCTGGCTCTGTCTACTAGCTGTGTGCCCTGGACGAAGTTAATCTTACTTTCAAAAGTCATTGTGGAGGGAACCAGCAGTTAGCGTAATGGCTATGTCGCTGGATTCCCACATAGTCGACCGCAGTTCATGTCCCAGACCTGGTGGCTTAAAACTCACGCCGGGAGCGTGTGTGTGTGTGTGCCCAAGATCCCGAGAGGAGAATGGAGGAGAAGGGATTGCAGTGTGGCCATCCCCCCTGGGGGGTGATTTCTTGCTTTCTGTCTCTCTCTCTCTCGCTGTCTGTCTGGTGAGTGCATGTGCCCTATAGCAAAAAAAAAAAAAAAAAAAAATGCCCAAAAGAAAAAAAAAAAAAAAAAAAAAAAAAAATACAACCTCTCCAAAAAAAAAGAAAGAAAGAAATACATGCTGGGAGCATGTGCCCAAAATCCCTAGAGAAGAAAGGATTGTGGTGTGGCCATTCTCCCTGAGAGGGCGATTTCTTGCTTTCTGTCTCTCTGTCTCTCTTGTGATTACACATGCCCTATTGCAAAAATCTCTCTCTAAAAAAAAGTAATTGTGAGGATTAAATATCAATGGTTTCAAAGTACCTCACACCTGTCAATACAATACTTTAGCACTTGGTAGCTTTTATTTTACTATCTGTTAAAAAAAATAGGATAACAACTCCTGTTCTTATAGACTGTTGTGAGAAGCAAGTACCAAGAGGCTTCAAAAAAATTCATGAAAAAATGGAAATAAAGAACAAATTAATTTTGGTGCAAAAAATTTCTGAAGTCCATTTAAAGTTTATTCAGAATATGCATTTTCCATGAACTTTTTGAAGACTTTCTCCCCCAATACATGAAAAAGCAGTGTAAAACATTATATGAATGTCATTACTTCCAGACATTCAACGACCAATCAATACGATTGCAGTAGTCCTGCAGAGTATCAGGAAGTTAAATACTCAGGAGAGTATAGTTTACTATGCAATTGTAAACAAATCACTCCTTTTACTATTAGGAAATTCCAGACTGGTTAATATAAGTAAATCCCCCTTGCTGGAGAAATAGTACTTTCTAATTTATTGAAAATTGCTTTCCCAGTTTTTATTTTTAAGCAACCAATGTAGGTTGTTGATTAACAACTTAAGGATGTTGCTTTATAGTGGATAGATTTTTGGAACAGTCTTTATGGAAAGTTTTTTTTCCCCATTTTAATTTAGTAAATGTTAATGTGTTGTCCCAAGCATTATGGTACCTACATTTTTTTTTTTTTTTTTTTTTTTTTTTGCCTCTGACTTATGTAAGACAAGTTGATGGTATTCCTGGGTTTGAATGTAAAAACAAGAGAACTTTATATCGCTGGAAGCAGAAGGTCTGACCCCTGAAGACACATTTCTCTTTGACGACTAGCAAATGTAAATTAGCCCTTTCTGAATTATTTCATATGAGAATCCCAGAATTTAAACCATTGTGCTAAGTTGAAGGGAAATTGCTTTTCTTCCCAGAATGCTACCGCAATTCACCAAATAAATCTCTTTACTAGAAGTTAGCACACCTTGGACCAGCAGGTGGCCTGGATGTTAAGGCACTGGATCCCACATGGCCTGGATCCTACCAGATCCCACACAGTTCAAGTCCAGACTCGGAGGCTTGAAAAATCACAAAGGGTGTATATGTGTCAGTGCACATAAATCCCAAGAGGAAAGTGGAGGAGAAGGGATTGTGACATGGTCACCCCCTCTGAGGAGGGGGGAGGTGATTTCTCACATTCCCTCTCTTTCTCTATAGCAAAAAACAAAAATAAAAAAAGAAGTTAGCATACCTCTCAATAATGGGAATAGTCTAAGAACACATCCCTTGTTTTCAATTGCAACAAACACTAAAATAGTTATGTCTGAAGAAATAAATGAAAATGAATACAGACAGGTATAGAAATGTGTTCAGGCTTCCTCCAATAAATCTTATCCCCTCCTATCAGTTAATCTCTTCTCCCTGCTTTCTCTCTATTGCACTTGTCATTCACTGTAACCTGGAATATGCTTTTGAATATCCCACCTAATCATGACAACCCAATAGTTCCCTGCACAATACTAGGGGTCAATAAATGGTTTTTGAGTACATTTATCTAGTCTTTGGAATCCTGTGCTTTGTAGTGAAATCTCAGCTGAAGACTTTAATCACGAGTTGTTTCGTTCTCATTAATGACAAGATTGGAAGGTGTCTTCTTTCTTTCTGGCAGGATGAAATCGGCATGTCCTGGTGAAAGCTTAGGAAAAGTGTAATTGATGTATTTTTGGAATGCTGCCCTGGTTTCCTGTAATTCCTCCTCCAAGAAATCTTTCCAGTTTGTCATGATTCCCAGTTGTTTGGCTATGGACAAGAGCTCCCCCTGGGTGTTAACCAGTTTATCCATCACGTTGTCAAGAGTGGCCTGATGTGTTTTCTCTGCTTCTTGAAGCACTTCCTGTACCTCTTCTTGCTTCTTCCTCTGAGCCATGCCATAGTATATGTTCATTTTATGCTCTTTTGCCTTTATCACTTGGTCCACATTCATCTTCTGATCCTTCATAACCGTTACACCAGTATTCACAAGTTCCTCTATAGCCTTGCTATTAAAAAAAAAAAGTGAATTTATAAATTAGATGAGTAGCCACTAAAAATAATGATCTTGTCATTAAAAAAAAATGTTTTTCTAATTGCTAGAGAGTATGTGCACTCATTAGAGAGAGACTGAGGGGAGGGAGAAGTACACAACGATGAGGCACAGTCATACTGCAATCCTTTCTCCTTCATTTCTCCATTCTATCAGGATTTGGGGCATGCATGTATACATGCCCAGTGTGTTTTTCAAGTTGCCAGGATCAGGACTTGAACTGTGGTCAGCCATGTGGAATCCTGTTCCCTTAACCACCAGGTTATGGGGCCAATCTTGATTTTTGTCTGCAGACAACACATGTACAAGGATACTTAAAAAAATTCATGGTAAAAGATGAAATTAAAGTTTATGTTGGTAAAAAAATAAACTGAAATTCATAGTTTTTTTCATATAATGTACTTTCATGAACTTTTTTAAAGACCCCTCATATGAGAAATTATTACATTGTTGAGATGAGTCATCAGGTGGGAGAGGCTGATACAAATGAGCCTTTGGATTGTATTAAGAGTGAATAATCAGAAAATACATTCAGAACAGGGAAGGCTGCTTATCACCTTTCCTGCTATGGGCTAGATCTGGTCACGAGTTTAATGTTTAAGGGCAACTTCAAGGACCCAATTCCAGTTTGGCCAGAAACATATAAACTTGTTGTACTTAAACATGAAGAAATAATGTCAGAATTTCAAACTCCTAGAGAAAGTGTTTCTTTATATCAATTCAACAGCTTACTTTTAGCCAGAGGGGAGAAAAACCTTACTCTCACAGATTTAGCTAAAAGTTGATTTTTATCTGAGTAGTACTCTGTGAAAGCTACCTCAAACTTTTTGGTCTCAGGACCCAGTTACATTTAAAATTAGGAGAAACCAGGGACCAGCAGGTGGCATCGTGGTTGAAGTACTAGATTCCTACATGGTCAACCATGGTTCAAGTCCTGAATCTGAGGCTTGAAAATCTCTTAGCCCATGTTTGTACATGTCCAAAATCCCAGGAGGAGAATAGAGGAGAAGAAATTGCAGTGTGGCCATCCTCCCTGGGGAGTGATTTCTCAGTTTCTTTTTTTCTGTCTCTCTCCAGTGAGTGTATACAACTTAAGGCAGAAACCTAAAACAAACAAAAAACAACTATGGAGGAACCCAAAGAAACCTTTAAAATGTGTTATATGTACTGACATTAGTAATACATTATATCTATTGACATTAGTAATATTAGAATTAATGATGAAGAGAGAGGGATAGGAAAAGAGAGATTAACCCATAAAAATAACAATAAATCCATTACACAGTAACATAGATATTTTAATGAAAAACGGTATTTTTCTGGGGCTAGCAGGTGGTGTGGTAGTTAAGGCTCTGGACTCCAACATGGCTGATTGTGGTTCGAGTCCCAGACCTGGCAGCTTGGAAATCATGCCAGGTGTGTGTACATGCTCCCAAAACTTAAGAAGAGAATGGAGAAGGGACTGCGACATGGCCATCTCCCCTGGAGTGGGGAGCTTGATTCCTCAGTTTCCTCTCTTTGTCTTTCTTACATATGCTCTAAGGCAAAAACCTTTAAAATTTTAATTAAATTTTTAAAATTCTTAAAAATATTTTCCAGCACAGTAAATTATTTGATGAAAAGAGTGATAAAATTTTACTTTAAAAGACAAACAAATGAACAAAACTCCAGAATGTCTGGCTTAATTTTAAAAGAAAAAAGAGAAGGCTGGACTTTCCTTTTGTTTCCATCTCCTGTGATATTGCACAAAATAAAATCTCTAGAAAATTCCATCATACACTTATTGGAGAATGAAAAAGGCAAATGTTCTCTTAATATTAAGAAAATAGCTTTGACCCCCTTTGTCCACTCCATAAATGGTTTTGGGTACCCTAAGTGTCCTTGGACTTTGAGAACCACTGCTAAACTATTTATAAACTCTGGTTATAATGTACATAATTACATGTAATTTATTGCAGCCAACCATGTTGACCTCTTACCATGTGGGTTATATGTAGGTTGATGCTCATACTGTGCACATATTAATTCAATGATCTCTAAGACACAATTCTGTGAGGTGTTTCTATTATAATGCCCATTTTATGATAAGGACACTGAGACTCAGAGAAGTCAAGTAGCTTGTCTAAGTTCACTTAATTAGTAAAAGTGGCAAAATCAGCAACACAACCCAGTCATCCCAGGTCCAAGGCAAAGTTCTTGGCAACTGTGATCCCTTTCTAGGAGATTTCTGTAGTTAACCTGGTCTGAACAGAATCTCTAAAGACTTGAGAATAAAATAATCTGCAATGTTGAATTCAAATATTTATTATTGTTAATAAAATCCTCTCGCTCTGCCTCCTAGCCTAATACAGACTTTCCAAGATCTATCATATACTTACAGTCTATTTTCCATTCTCTAAAAATGCAATTCTATCATCTTTTCTGATTCTTTCAACTTGAGTTTCAAACTACCTGGGACCAGAAAGTGATGTAGTGGTTAGGGCACTGAACTCCCACATGGTTGATCATGGTTTGAGTCCTGGACCTGGTGGCTTGAAACTCATGGTGGGTGTGTGTGCATATGTGCCCAAAATCCTGAGAGGAGATTGGAGGGGAAGGAATTGTGGCCTGGCCAGGGCCCCTGAGGGATAATTTCTTACTTTCTATCTCTTTTTCTCCAGTGAGCGCATACACCCTATAGAAAAAAATCTCTCAGAAAAACAAAAGAAAACAAAAAAACCTGACAGACTTGCTCAGTGTTAAAGCAAACATCATTTACCCTTAGCTATTATTCTAGAAACCTTCTTTCCTCTTTCTTGTCTACCTCCACAATTATTTCTAGTCTATGCAGGGAGGATAATAACAATGTAACTGCCGAAGTTTCAGCCCTCATTCTCATTTCTCTATGCTTTCTCAAGGATTTTACCTTTGGTTCTGTTCTGAACAATTCTAAGGAGAAATACTTTACCTATTAATTATTTACAAAGGAGTTCATTTGTAAACTCAAGCAGCAAAATAAAAGAGACAAGCTACAGACTAAAAGGCCAAACAGGGAGGCTGTAGGCTTGTTTTTCTGCCACAGCTCAGTAGCTATCTTGGATAAGACCCTTAACCTCTGAAAATAATGGTTTTTCTCTCCCACCAGATAATCCCTGGGTTCTTGACCACTGTACTGTTCCATAAAATGTTCATTACATACACAGAAATGGGTACCTTGGGGGACCAGCAGTTAGTGTAAGGCTGTGTCACTGGACTCCCATGTAGCAGACCGCAGTTCGCGTCCCAGACCCGGTGGCTTAAAACTCATGCCGGGCATGTATACGTGCGTGCCCATGATCCCAAGAGGAAAATGGAGGAGAAGGGATTGTGGCATGGCCATCCCCCCGGGGGGGGTGATTTCTCCCTTTCAATCTGTCTGTCTGTCTGTCGAGCACACGTACCCTATAAACCTCTCCAAAAAAAAAAGGAAATAAATGGTTATCATGGTATTTTTAAAATACGTAGATGTATGCTCTGATTTATGTAACAGATGGTTTGTAATCATGCACATATATGTCACTATAAACACATCAAATGTGTATGAAAGAATATAGATCCGATTTAAAATGATTGTCTCTCAGATGGAGGGAGAAGGTGGAGATACAGTCAAGACTTGTAATTCTTACTCTATATGTTTCTGTGTCAACTTATTTTGCAACATATATTACTTGTGTAATAAGAAAAAGACCAAGAAGTAGCACATTTACAATAGTATTGATCTAGCCTAGAGAATCTAATGATTGACGTATGTGTTTATGAGAAAATGTTTCTTGGTTCCCCTCCTCAGCCTCTTACAACTGGTGATGCAGAATGAAAAGTACTCTGTTTTAAGAAAAAAGTTATCATAAGGTGAGGGAGGGAGGAAGATGTGATTGAATAAGAATGCATGGGATCTTCTGAAGTGCTGGCAATTTTCAATCACTCAAACGAGGTAGTAGGTCCTTGAGTGTTTATGTCACTATGTTTCTTTAAATCACACACACACAGAGTACAATACATTATATTGGGTTTTTGGAAAAGTCATGATGTATCTTTCTACAATATGTTTTTCATGATGCAAAAAGGCGTCATGACTTTTCCAATGTAATACATCACTTCATGTTTGATATGTTCTATAATAAAATGCAAAATAAAATGCAAAAACTGAGCAATATCTATCTATATATTTCAAACTTATTCCTTTGATTTTTGATAAATATGATACTAATTTGCCAATGTGTTCCCTGGAATACCTTTTCTGGGCCTCCAGTGCTTCCCGGGCCATCTGTCTTTCCTCAGCCCTGGCTTTCCTCACAGCCTCCAACTTCTCCCGGTGACACTCCATCATAATCCTTTGGATTCTGTGGACCATGCGTTGTTCTGCAGCTAAGTTTTCTCTCTTCATTTCATCATCCATGTTTTGATACATCTCTATCTTGGTTTTAGCTTCCATTTCCTTAGCAATGACAGAACCAGGTTTAGATATTACAGCTTTGATGTTTAAAAACACATACTAGGAGGCCCTGTTAATTTATTTACTAGGTTTTTGCCATAGGGTCCATGGGCTCTCCGGAAAAAGACAGAGAGAGAAAAACCACCCCACAGCGTGTATGGCCACAATGCAATCCCTTTTTCTCCATTCTTCTCTTGGGATTACCAGCATGTACACACACATGCCAGTTAACTTTTGAGCCTCAGGTCTGGGACTGTAATGGCCCTCAGACATGTGGGAATCCAGAGCCTTAACTTCCATGCCACCTGCTGGCTCCTAAGAGACGATTTAAATCACACTTCCATCTATGTGACAGAATGACCTTTTAACATCAATGACTTAAGAGTGTGTACAATATGGAAAACTTTCATTTATATGATCTAAGAAAAAACAAAAGCTGTACAAACTATAGAAAATGTACAAAATGTAGCATAATTATTTGTGTACAGGTGTGCATGTGTAATCATTGTTGAAAGGGGATATGTAAAAAGGAAGATAGTTGAGTTAAAGGGGTAGGGTTAAAGGTCTTTTTTTCCTTGGTTGTCCAAATACTCTAGCATCATATTATCATTATACATAATCAGAAATACATAATATGACTCTATTTTAGTAACTTAAGTCCTGGGAAATGGCAGAAATAATTAGGGTACTTCAGAGTATCTCCTTGGTAGGAGAGAGCCTGGGACTCAGGCACAGCACGGTTGCACGTTAGTGCAGTCCCGGAGAACAGCCTCCCAGTGCCCACCGTTATTCACATACTCCAACTCATTAGTTCATAGAGGAAAGGAACAAGCGCTCCATTGCTCCAATTTAGAAAGGCCCACAGATGGTCTTAGACCAAATAAAGACAAAAAGCACTAGTCAAGCCAGGACTTGAGGAAAACAGCCTCACAACTATCCTAAAAGAAAATCTTGTCGTGGGCCAGCAGATGGTGTGGAGGTTAAGGTGAATGGATCTCACATGGTGACTACATGGTTTGACCTGGCTTGAAAATTACACTGAGTGTGTGTGTGTGTGTGTATTTGCCCAAAATCTTCACAGGAGAATGGAGAAGGGATTGCAATATGGTCATCACCCTAATAGGGTGATTTCTCAATTTCCCTCTTTCTCTCCCCCTCCCCCCTTCTCTGCTGAACACATGCCCCTAAAGCAAACTAAAATAAATAAATAACTTAATTAATTTTTAAAAAACTTTAAAAAAAATAGAGGGGCCGGCAGGTGGCATGGTTGTTAAGGTGCTGGACTCATGGCTGACCACAGTTTGAGTCTTGGACCTGGTGGCTTTCTCACTTGCTCTCTCTCTCTCTGGTCAAATTAATAATAATAGTAATAATAAAATAAAATAATTCTTAAAAACAATAGAAAAAGAAAATTCTGTCACAATTTCTGAAATGCCTACTAAATCTATGGTGTGCCAGGCACTCTGCTAGCCCCCGATACTATGAATACAAGAAAACTGAGATCTTCATTCTCAGGGACCACACTGTCTAGTGGAGACCAACAACCCAATCGTACAATGAGTGTTGTGACAGAAATATATGCAAGAGAGAAGGAACAATTAATTTTATCCAGGGGATTCAAAACTCATTTAAATATAATTTTTTTTCTATTTTAAGGACAACATCATGAGTACATAGGGAAATTTATTTCACACAATGAGTCAGTGGAAGAGCTAGAGATAGAAACCAGGATTCCCCACCGCCACACCAATTTCACATGTATTTTCCTTCATTTTCTTGCTTGCTAACTTAACCACTTTATCTTTTTTTCTCCTAACTTAAATATTTAGAATAAGGACAACAAAAAAGACACAATTTTAAAATCTGTAAGGGGCCAACAGGTGGTGTGGTGGTGAAAGTGCTAGACTCCCACATGGCCAACTGCAGTTCGATTCCTGGGCCGTGTGGCTTGGTTTCTCACTTATTCCCCCCCTCCTCTTTCTCTCACTGGTCAAATTAAACAATCAGTAAATAAATAAATAATTCTTTAAAAATATGAAAACCTGTAAATCTTTTTGATGTTCTTCTTTCAAAATCTGAATTTCAATGTAGTGTTTGGCATTTGCTTCTTCAAGTGCTTTCTCCACTGCTCGTTTTTGGACTTCAGAAGCCTTTGAAAGAAAGAGTCCATTTATCTATTAATATATTGGAATGAGTATAACGCAACTAGTTGTTACTTGAGATGTTGGTAAATCAGGTTTTCATATTTACTGAAAATTAGCAACCACTATAGCAATTCCTAGTTATTTGCTTCATTCCCATCTCAAAACTCCCATAGTAAACTGACTGCCTGAGCCAGATGCCCCACCACATCGCAACCCTTGGGTAGCATCATTATTTTAGGAATTGCTAAAGGCAGGGCAGCTTTATTGGATACAGGCTGCAGCATTCACTTTTCTCTTTGGCACTTTCTGTATTATTTGCTTGACTATCAATATAAGATATGCTCATTGTTGAAAATCTGGAAAACACAGACGTGAAAGGATACACAAAGCTAGCAAAGGCTGAGCAGGGAGGCTGAGTACCATCCCAGACCTGCCACATCAGGTCTTCAGAAAAGTGAATACACAGAACACGAGCTAAACTAATATTCAAATTGAAGACTACTCACAAAATCATTTCCTTATATTAGGATGTATAATTGGTGGTTCATAATCAATCTGAATTTTATTACTGATAAAAATAAGTGACTACTGAGACCAATAGTTGGTGTAATGGCTATATGTTCCTGGACTCCCGTGTAGTTGATCACGGTTTGAATCCTGGACCCGGTGGCTTAAACTCATGTCAGTGTGCGTGTGTGCCCAAGACCCCAAGAGGAGAATGGAAGAGAAGGGATTGCAGCGTGGCCATACCTCCTAGGGGGGTGATTTCTCATTTTCTGTCTCTCTGTCTCTCTCTGGCTTTCTGGCAAGTGCACATACCCTATAGCAGAAACCTCTCCAAAATAAATAAATAAATAAATAAAAATGACTACTAACATTTTTATATAATTACCCTTTGCTGTAGAACATGTTTGAAACATGTTCATACCAAGGTTTTGTTGGCACTATTACTGGACAATTTTAATACTATTTGCTTTAATGTCTATTTTATTAAGAAACTGAGAAGTCACATTATTTTAAGCATTGTGGCTTGTCCTGACTCCAGGGAGTTTTAATTTTCTTTAGGTCATTTATGCCATTCTATGGGATTTGAAGAAGTGGGGGCTGCAGGATTGAAGCTTTGCTTTGCTTTAGTTCCATGTACTGGGTCTCACTGTGAGCTGTGATACTCAAAATGCCTCTATGGCTCTAAGCAGTCATGTGGACAAGGTGTCAAGGATGTTGGAAAGAGAGGAGCAAAAGAAGAGTAGGCCATGATGACACACTTGGAAACAATGAGCCTGTAGTCCAGGGATATGACACACTGCACAAATGGATAGCCTGTGTGTGTGCGTGTGTGCGTGTGTGTGTGTGTGTGTGTGTGTGTGTGTGTGTGTTGGGCCATGATAAACAATTACCAAAAAGGATGTCGTTTTTGTTCTTTATAGTTTTTTGTTTTGTTTTGTTTTGTTTTTGTTTTTTGTTTGTTTATTTTTAATGAGATTAACAGGGGCAGAAGTCATCCATAGAGAGAGGACAACTTGGAAGGGAGGAAGCACCTGATGGTGCCCACTTGTTACTAAGCATCTACTGTATGCCAGGTACATTATTTTATTGAACGCTCTCAATAAATGCATAGCATTGTTGTTCTTTCAGAGTTGAAGATAATGCTACACAGGTTAAAGAACATGCCCAAGGTCCCACAGCTAACCAGGACTCAAAGTCAGTACCATCTGACTCTGTAGTCTGTGCTCTTGATGACTATGCAGTGCTATTGTCCAAACAAATCTAAGAAGTGAAAGAACTTTAAGGCTGTATTTTACATTGGTTTCTCATTTCTCTTACCTGAGCCCATACTTTAATTTCTGCTTGTGCTATACGTTCTTTGAGTAAAGCCTCCTGAAATTGCTCTTCTTTACTCAGAATATCTGCCCCAATATCTGCATATTTGAAGAGAAATGATCATTAATCTACAAGAACTGTTTTTTCACTTTCCTTTCTACCATCATCATTTATTATGAGTACTCTCTAGAGTATATATCCCTTTAGGACTTATTTCTTTGTTTTTTTTTTCTTTAAAGATGCCCATTGAAGGAGTAAGTTTCTTCCTAACTATGAGGGAATTCACAGCACTATTAGGCCAGGCCAGAGTTAGTCGTTCCCCTATTTATACCCTGTCCACACTTCAGACAATGGGGAGAGTTAAATGAAATAAATGCCCTGCAGAGAAGAGCACACTTTCTGTACCTAATGTAGAGTGGTGAGAGAATGCTCAGAGGTGCTAGCACATTATACAGCTCCACTCTCCTTGCTCCTACCTGGGTAGCATTGCTACCTCCATCAGGAAAGTAGTAGAAGCAGATGGCCTCCTTTAATGCATTATATACCTTTGTTTAGCATGCAGGTCTTCACAGAATCAACTGCCTCAGTTGTGGAGTGAGTAAAGGGGTAGTAGTTTATCATTTCTCTGTCAAAAATCTAACTTGATTTCCAAATAATATTCTCATAATACCCTCCCTACCTGGACAAGTAAATGAAAGTATAGAGATGTTAGAGGACCACATGATATCTGAAGCCAACATCTGAGCTTCTTGAGCTGGGCACAGGGTTTCCCATCTTCTCCTAGAGTGGGTTGGTAGAGCTGACCAATGAAGTGTTACAAAATGATAAGCCCTTGGGTGCTGACATCACACATGGTGATTGTTTTCTCCAATCCAAACTCTCACAATACTTACTCTTTATTCCATTCACTTCTCATATCTTAGATTTGTTGAATTATTAACTTTTCATGTGATTAAGTCCTGACAATTGTCTTAGTTTTCTGCTGCAATAACAGGCTGCAACAGACTGGGTAATTTATAAAGAACAGAAGTTTATTTGTTCATGGTTCTGGAAGCTGCAAAGTCTAAAAGCATGGCACCAGGACCTAGCAAAGGTTATCCCATAGTGGAAAGCATTCCATGGTGTGTGAGTGGGTGAGACAGAGAACAAGAGAGTGAGGGGCCAAACTCATCCTTGCATTAGGAACCCACTTCTGTACTAATGGCATTAATCTATTCATGAGAGAGTGTCATGATCTAATCACCTCTTAATAGTCCTACACTTTAACATTGTTGCATTGGGGATTACGTTTTCAACACATGAATTTTATTTTAAAGAATTATTTTATTTATTACTATTATTTTTCAATTTGACTAGAACGAGACAGAGAGTAAGGGAAACTGAGAAAGCAAGCCACCAGGTCTTGGACTTGAACTGCGGTCAGCCATGTGGGAATTCAGCACCTTAACCACCATGCCACCTGCCAGCCCCTCCAACACATAAACTTTTAAGGAATCATTTTAACCACAGTATTTCACTTTGGGTTTCCAAAATTCATAACCTTTGCACTGTGCAAAATATATCCATTCCATTTCAATAGCCCCAAAAGTCTTAACTTAATTCTGTTATCACTTCAAAACTCCAAAGTCCAGAGCCTCATCTAGTTCAATTATGGGTGAGACTCAAGGCACAATTCATCCTAAGGCAAATTCCCTCCAGCTGTGGGTCTGTAATATCAAAATATGTTATCTCCTTCTGAAATTCACTGGCAAGACAAGTGGAAGATAGATGTTCTCATTCCAAAAGAGAAGACTGAACTTTTCAGCTTGCCCTTATACTAGTGTTTACTGCAAATCTTAAGGATTTTATTATAAAGAATTTTTTTTACTTTGGTAGTACATTTTGTACCAAAAATGTCAAACACTGTGCTGTAAGAATATCCATGTTTGGGAAGCCAGCAGGTGGTGTAGTGGTTATGGTGCTGAACTCCCACATAGCTGACCACAGTTCAAGTCCTGGAACTGGCAGCTTGCTTTCTCACTTTTTTTTTTTTACTCTTTCTCTGGTCAAACTGAACAAGAGGTAATAATAACAAATGAAATTAAATAAATAATTCTTAAAAATAAGAAAAATAAAAAAGTATATCCATGTTTGTAGAAAGATCCACTTTTTAGATAATATGCTTTTCATTATAACAAAAAAAAAGAAGAAGAAAGAGGAATAAGTGATTCCAAGTAAGTCCAAAATTCAACAGGGTGAACTATTAAATCTTTTTTCTTTAAGATTAATTTTACATTTTACATTAAGTCCTATCATGATATATACTTTCTCTCAGTTTTAACAGATAACTTTACTTTTCTTTGTGTGTTCAATGTTTCTTCCCTTTGCACCTCACACCCACCCTCTACTACCCACTCTACCATCTATTCTCTGCTCTTACAGTCTCTGGTATCTACATGTATCCTCTCTATTATCATATCTTCAAATTTCTCTATCCCTGCCATAGAGTGCAGATATTTGGTACAAATTGAGTGGAGATACGCAATGTGTATCTTTCGAAGTCTGGTTCACTTTGATCAACACTAAGTCTTCTGTATTCATCTGCCTTCTAGGATCTTATTGTTTCTTTAGCTGAGTAATACTTTATAATATATATGTGCCAGTTTTTTTTTTCTAGTTATCAGATTTTAGACACTTAGATTGGTTCCACGTTTTAGCAACTGTAAATGATGCTGCAGTGAACATTTGAGTGTTTTCCTATCCTTTGGGTAAATACCAAGGAGTGGGATTACTGGGTCTTATGGTAGTTCTATTTGTAGGTTTTTGAGAACCTCCATATTTTTTCCCAAAGAGGTAGTACTAATTTACATTCCCATCAATAGTTTAGGAGGGTTCCCTTTTTACCACAGCCTTACCAGCACTCATCGTTCCTTATTTTTCTAATCCTAGCCATTCTAACTGGGGTTAAATGCTACCTCGTTGTGGTTTCAATTTGCACTTCTCTTATGATAAGAGACTTTGAACATTTTTTTCATATGCCTTTTTGTCATTCATAAGTCTTCTTTGTTGCCTATTATTGGATTATTCATTTTCTTTTTATGAGCAAGCTACTTGAGTTCCCTATATATTCTGGGTAATGATTCCTTGTCTGAGGAATAATTTGCAACTATTCTCTCCTATTCTGAGGGTCATCTTTTGCATCAAGCTAAAAAGTTTCCTCACGGCAAAGGAAACAATAATTAGAGCAAACCATTAAACCTTAAAGCTGGAGAATAATTGCATTTGCTTCCATATCCCACAACCTGGGCACACTGGGGTGGCTGGGCATCTACAGTCTTAGTAGCCTTGCCTCAGTGGCTTTTCTGGGCTTGGTCCACATTTCAATTTTTACAGGTTAGTCTTTTCTTTCTTTCTTTTTCTCTTTAAATTTATTTTTTACATTAATTCACTATACAGCATTACAGCATACAAATGAATTTTCCATCCAAAATACACTGTATATTGGCTCAATCAAGCACATCAACATACATGTTGTCGGCAAATAATTTTCCAATTCATATGTCTTGTATACTTTGTTTTTTGTTTTGCCATCCTTGATTCCCTATCCCTCACCCTCTGCCATGTCCCACCCTCCTCCCACATTGTATCTGGTATCTATGGTTGCTTTCTATGCCTCCCCCCCTCCATTTAATTGATTTCCTAATGAACTTAATTAGTCTAAATATATCCAATAGCTAGCACAGCTGATATATACCTATCCATGAACCCAAGTTTGACTTTAGGCATAAACCTCAGTGAGTAGAATGAACATACTATAAAGTAGTACCTAGCTGGGGCAATTTTTACAGGTTAGTCTTATGCCTATAGCTTCTCCAGACTGAAGTTGAGTGCTAGTGGTATATAGTTCTATGGTCATGGGAGTAGTGGGCATTCTCTGTGGTGATTCTGACTCCTCAATTCCACTTGGGAATGCCCTATTAGGGGCTCTATATGGTGGTTCTGCCCTATAACGTCTCTGCTTGGGCCCCGAGGTTGTCTGTGATATCCTTTGAAATCCAGGTAGAAGAAGCTATACTCCTACAACTCTTTGCATTTTGCAAGTCTACAGACTTAACACCACCTAGGTATCACAAAGGTGTAGTGTCTACATCTTCTGGAGTGGCAGTCAAAGCCACACCTGGGCCCACTTGGGCTGTGGCTGAGAGGCACTGTGCTGGAATGTTGAGAGCAGAGAACCAAGATGGTTCTGGGCAGAACTAAGATGGAGGGCATCCTGGGCCCATCCCTCAAAAACATTCTGCCTTCCTAGAGCTCTGGGCCTGTAATCAAAGATGCACCCTGGACGATTTCTGAAATGCCATCAGGATCTTTCTCCCATTGTCTTGATTAATAGCACATGGATCCTTTCCATCCATATTAATCTAGTAAATGGTTGCTTGGCCATGATCCTTTGATTGCTCTCCTAAAGACACCTTTTCACTCATTCCATGACCAGACTAAATTTTCTAAATCTTTCCATTCTGCTTCTCTGTTAATGATAAATTATTTTTTTATGTCATTCCTTTTCTCTAGGATATCTGGCAGAAGGAATATCTAAGCAATCAGGTTGCCAAATCTTCTAATTAATCACTCTTAAATTCTGCATTCCATAAAGTCCTGGGATATGGGCATAGTCCAACCAAGTTCTTTGTAACTGTATAACAAGGATGGCTTTAACTCCACTTTCCAATACTTTATTCCTCATGCCTATGTGAGACCTCATCAGTATGCATACCCAAAACCCTGAGAAGAGAATGAGGAGAAGGGATTGTGGCATAGCCATCCCCTCAGGGGGTGATTTCTTGTTTTCTGTCTGTTTTTGTCTCTCTCTTTCTCTCTTCCCTGCCAGTGCACACATTCTATAGCAAAAACCTCTCTCTCTAAAAAAAAAAAAAAAAGAAAATTTCTGGGAATAAAAGAGAGAAGGAAACTTATAATTACAATTTGATTTGTTTATACACACATACACACACACACACACACACACACACACACACACACACACTTGGTAATCGGAAAGTCATGACACATTTTTGCATAGAAAAACAGAAAAATAGGTCATAAATTCTCTGATGACCCA